GCTGAAGGAAGTGCTAAAGGAAGTATTCAACAATAAAATAAAACATACTTTAAAATATAACTTCAGAGCTGCAAGACATTTGAGTGTGTTTAGGGCTGAGAGAAGTGTCTACATTCTCACAGGGGAATGAACAAACTGCTGATGGGAGAAAAGAAGAATGGGAAGGGGAGTTTGGCTAGCTAACCTAGTCATTTGAGTTCATAAACTGTGAAAAAGACTCCACAGAGCAAATTAAAAACTCAAACTGAAAGGAACATCCTTTCATTTACATTTTACTTTTTGTAGTATGTTTAAACCTATAACTGCTCAAAAGTTAAAGTTGTTTTGGCTGTGTAAGCTGTGTCTTCTGGGAGCAATTAGAGTGCCTACCACAATTTTTGTCGCGAACCTTTTCTATTTATAATATCTTGTCACCTGTTCATAGTCATTCACATTGCTCAGATGTTTTACATAGTTTTTGATATAGTCTGCAATTTTAAAATTATTTTAGGTAGGTTTACATAAAGGTAACTATAGTATGATCACAGAATTTAGTATGGAGCAATTGAATAGAGAACCATTTGGGAAGATTATAATAATGTGATATTCTCCAGGTACACTTGCATGGGAGTCCATAGGGACCGTGTGGTCTGTGTTACTGCATCCCTTACTGGGAAATGAAGTGTTCATTTAATGGTTTACATTTACCAATGCCTTAGGTAAAAATGTTGACTGTTACAAACTAATGTGAATGCATTCTTGGAATGTGGCCAGTAATGCACAACATTACTTGACTGCCATCGTTGTTAGCTACAGTCGCTTGGAGTTGATGTGAAATCAGCTAATTCATCTGTGTGGTTACATACCACTACAGCCTGATGAAATATTTCAGTCATCATCATAACCTTGTCTCCAGTGTACTAGGGTTAACTTTTTGTGTTTCTGAGTGACCAGGTTAATTTGAGTGTTGTTTCAAAGATAGGTATTTCATAAACATAGCAATGTCAGAGACTTTAAAAATTGCTATCACATAGCATACTTGCCTGGTGTTCATACAGGCTTTTAGATTTTTATGATGTGATAGACACGTGAACATTTTAATAATTTTAAAAACTTAATTTTAAAAACTACATTTTCCCTAGGTCTTTGAAATACATTGTAGCATATTAAAATACATTTAGCATAATAATACATATAATGTAAATTCTTGTTTAAATCTTTGCCTGAATGTTCTTATTGTGGATATTTGGATTGTAGCAATGGAAGGCAAGAGATATTTTGCCTTGACATAACATCCAGTAACTGCATGTGCTCTCCATTTCCTTTATGCCTTGCTGCAATCCTGAAAGTGCAGTTTGGACTATGGGATACTTTGACTATCTTAGATGTGTGTTCAGTTGACACTGTAGATGAAAAGGAAGGTACAATCTTTACCTCATGCTATTTTAGCAGTAGAATTTATGCCATCACACCCTTATTGTGTAATGTACAAGATAGATGTGATTCACCTCACAGCTGGGTGAGTGCTTGTGCCACCACAGTGCCAGGGGGCAAAAAGTGGTCAGGAAACAGCCCTTGCAGCTGCTTTCCATTTGGCTTAGATGTCCTGTAAAACTGAATTCTGGGTCTTCTGAGGAGTTACTTGCTATTGATGTCAGCTCACAAAATGAACATTTCATATGTGTAAAATTTTGTCTTTAGTCTTTCCAGATTTAAATTTTAGGATCTGTTATGAGTGCCTTCTGAAAAACATAAAAAATTAAAATTCAAAACAACTTCATGTTTCATGCAGTTTTGGCTGTTTAAATAACAGTTTGCATTTTTCTTATTCCTCTCTGATACTTTTGGCTTATATTCTAGTATTTTTCGCCAAGGAGAAAAAAAAAACGCACCTCAGTAACAATACTGAAAGTTGACTTTCAGATAGAAAAAGAAAAATGGTGTGAGATCAGCAATTTCCAAAGTTTTGTTGTCAATGTTGGTTAATCATGAATCTATGTATTTCCTAGGGCCACTGTATAGTTTTTGTGTTTAGAAGCTTGTGAGTCAGTCGCTGCCCTGTGCTTCATCAAAACCAGATTCACATGACTTTCTAAGTCTCCATTAGTTTCTAGTCACAAGTATAAGTTGTTTAGGGCAGTGCTTGGATTCAGATTCCTAAAATGCACTTGTGTTGCATCCTAATTTTAATTTTCTCTGGAGAGAGAATTTAAGATTAATGCACAGACCTTTATATGCAACTAGTGAAGAAGCAGGGAAGAGAAGGTACTTTTCCACACAAATCATGTTAACTAAAGCAGATGGAAGTAAAATGAAGCAAGATTCCCTGAGTCAGAACCTTCCTCTCTAGGTACTAGTATATTCCTTTTGCCATGTTTTGCTGCCTCTTTGTCAGGTTCTCTGCAGCACCTTACTCACCAGATTGTAGCAGACAGACATCCTGAGGGCTGAGGTTTGTTGCCAGAATATTTGAGACTCTTTAGATTATCATTCTCAGGTTTCCTTTACATGTCCCTTTGCACTTGTTCCTCTGAAACAGTCTTGCTGTTGATTTGACACAAAATGGTCTCTGCTGTCTTTGGGAGCTACAGAACTGTCGTGGAGGCAAAGAGTTTGTGAGGAGATGCTCTTCAAATGCCAAACAGAAGCAATAATGTAGCCATCTTGGACTGAAGGAATCTGAATGTCTTCATTCATGTGTTTAGATTCAAGGTGGTGACTACCCCATTAGTAATCCTGCTTATTGAAAGAAAATTGGTTTTGTTCTCTGCAGGGGACAGAGAATCTTGCAATACTTCCTTCCCTCAGCATCAGCTAAAACTGCAGCCAGTGTAAAGTTCTTTCCTTCATTTTCAGCATCTAATAACCATGCTAAGGTATTGGTAGAAATGCCTGGTCTGCTCACATGAGGTGAAACTATTCCCATTTTTTCTGTCTGGAGACTTTACTGATATGCCAGTTCATGTCTTTCAGTCCTAATAGCTTCTGGGGTTTTTTTAAACCCTGTTATAGAGCACACATCCAGGAGTGTGTCACATACCTGAATTCAGTCATAAACCATCAGTATTAAGTAAAATGAATTAGGGCTCCAATTGCCTTTTTCTCTGGAATGGATTTCTGGTTGGTTAGGGCTTGAATGAACAGCTGTAACATGGTTCCATTAACACTTGCCTAACTTGCTTCTGAGGACACCTGTGTGAGTTACAAAGCTGGCTATACTTGGTGAGTGTGTGTATACATACACATGTTTATACCAGCTCTCCATTAGATTTTATTTTACTTTTAGCTTCCACCTCTCTGCAAGTTTTACACTTGCAGCTGTTGTCTGCAGAATAGCAGACAGCTTGTGCTTTCATCGTGGAGCAGATTCTCCTGGAAGCTATGCTTAGGTGCATGAAAAGCAAAGAGGTGATTGGTAATAACCAACATGGCTTTACAAAGGACAAGCCATACCTGATGAATTTGGTGGCCTTCTATGATGGGGCCACTGAGTTTGTAGATAGGGCGAGAGCAACCATTATCATCTACCTGAACTTATGCAAGGCGTTTGACACTGTCCCACATGACATTCTTGACTCTAAATTGGAGAGACATGGATTTGCAGAGAGTAGTGATCAGTGGCTTGTTGTCCACATGGAGACCAATGACGAGTGGTGTCCCTCAGGGGTCGGTGCTGGGGCCGACACTGTTCAGCATCTTTGTCAGCGACATGGACAGTGGGATTGAGTGCACCCTCAGCAAGTTCACTGATGACACCGAGCTGTGTGGGGCAGTCACACTGGAGGGAAGGGATGTGCCATCCAGAGGGACCTTGACAGGCTTCAGAGGTGTGCCTATGCAAACCTCATGAAGTTCAACAAAATGAAGTGCAAGGTACTACATCTGGGCCATGGCAATCCCAGGCACACCTACAGGTTGGGTGGGGAAGTAATTGAAACCAGCAGTGACGAGAAAGACTTGGGAGTGACCGTGGATGAGAAACTCACAATGAGCCAGCAGTGTGCACTTGATGATCTGTAAGGCCCATTCCAGCCCTTAAATTCTATGATTCTGTGATTCTATGTTTGTTATGACTGTTGCATAAGGAGTTTATTTTGTAAGAGCATTTCTTCCCGTTCTTCGGAATGCTAACAATCACATCCAGTGTTCAAAGTTCAAATTGTTATTTGTTGATAGTACAGAGTTCTTCCTAAACTATAGGTAAAGGTTTCAGCACTACACA